AAAAAAAATTTTGACAAAAATCGGAATTGTGACGCAAAAAAAAGGTAAAAGAATGTCCCATATGCGCGATCACCAACTTTAACCGAACGAAAATAATAAAATTATTTGTTTGATTTTTCGAAATTTTATTGTTTCAGTATCACGTCGGGATCACCAAAATGTTGGATCAGTGAGCTTTTTCACTAACCATTACCTTGGCGGTGCCCAAATAAAATAAACTGCACAAAATTTCGTTAATAATTTGCACTTATTTATTAAACCGACACCAAGGCCTTAAATGTATAAAGTTATTGTTTGTTGTATGTTGGGCAGGCAGACCGATTTGTCTGTGCCTTTTTGCAGCGAAAAGGTATATTAGCAGGCAGACCGATTTGTCAATGCTTTAGACGAAAGTATATAAAGCCGAGATTTGGCAGGCGATCAGCGATCGTGCCTTGTGTAAGCGAGTACCAAAATCGAACTACTGAAGGTATGTTGGGCAGGCAGACCGATTTGTCTGTGCCTTAAACTTCGCGAAGAGTATATAGCCGAAGAGTATATAGGCAGGCGATCAGCGACCGGACAAGGCCAGGAAGCGATAAGCGAAAAAGTGCAAAAAGGGAGTTAGAAATGAGTGTTCAGTGTTGCCGCGCAGGGCAAATAGCAAAACAAAGGCAAACATCAAGCAATGAATTTACGTTAAGATTTGAAATTAGTGATTGGATTTAGGCTGCGGCATGACCGAACACACTATTTCCATGATTTTATCCGTATCAACGGTCACTGGTCGTCCGGAAGGCTTGGGAACAACTGTTCGGCCGTTTGAATCGAAAGTTTGTTATCTCCTAAGACAGCAATAAGCTGTCTGCGAGATTCCGCAGCAGTTTTTCCCTGTGCGAAAGCATTGCCAGATACGATTATATTTGACTTCACAAGCGAAGCGCGAAATTTGAATGTAAAAACCGGTATGTCATTACCAAATAACCTAATATTATTAATGTATATGCACCCAGTGCTTATATGCACACCATGCACACTGCTTATACTGTTAACCCACTTCAAAGCAAGTAAAGCACGCTCCATCCGGTCGTTTTGGTGGTCACAATTCTTTCTTAAAGGTCCCATACGACGTCAACCAAAACAGCCTGTCTCTCGGAAGGTCATCGTTAAAGTGGTATCTGAAGGTGTGACTGCTGTCGCCCACTGGGGCTTCCAGGCTCTTTCCAGTTGCACTGATTAATATCGCAATAGATTTTTGCGCAACTCATTGAGGGATGTACAATAGTAAATAGGGTAGCGTATCCCGATCGGTCACTGAGACTATATACTATGTTCTTGATGACGTCTGAGTCAGAAAACAAACCTTGCGCATAGTGATGAAATAACTCAGCAGTAATTTCCCTTTTCAAGCTTGCGGTCTTGCAAGCTTAGCAACTTCACGATTGGACATGTTGCGTCCGAATACTTCCAACAACATTTTAGTCAACTGCTCCCATGTAGTCGCCTTTTTCAAACATCACATACATCTTAGCAGAACCATGAAGTAAACGGTTACCAAGCTACCAATGCTGCGTGTTCCCAATCTGTACCCCTGCGCAACCTTTTCTAATTCTAGAATCCATATGCGGACAGAAAGATGGTCATTACCGATCATGCTCCATTCTCCACAGCAGCAAAGCACCAAAGTTCTTTCAGGTCACCCATGAGGACGGCTAATTTTGCAGACGCAGACGCTTTGAAAGAATCAGATGATCATCCCTGACCTCATCTGGCGTCTCCGTGCTTGCAGCCATCTTAAAAAATCGGTTGGTGAATATCAGATCTCTCGTTCACAAGTGGTCCTTTCTCAATCTGCAGTTTAAAGAGCTCAGATTTGGTTAGACCGATGATGTCGGTGTATCGCATTAATGAATTACAGTAGAATCCTGTTATAATGACTCCGCTTATAGTGTCCGTCCGGGTTGTGCGACGAAAACTCGATGGTTTGGTTCGTCCCCATACAAACTTATATGAAAGGTCCTCCGTTTAGAGCGTTTCCGCTTTTAGCGGTTTGTCGCTTATACGAACAAATATTTTCAAGAAAATTGAAAAAATGTACCGAATATTGCGTCGTGCAGAAAAAAAATACATTGCAATAGTGCCAAATTTAAGCATCAAAACACGCGGTTAGAAATGTATGTATTTATTAGTGATCGGCACCTTTGCTTGTGCGTAGCAGCGACACGAAGGATCTTACACTGTCACTACTCTCTGTTAGTTTTAGCTGTCGCCTTAACTACGCTGCTGCCAGAGAGAGAGTCGAAGTGCAATGCCGACGTCACACGCTGCTCTGCGTGTGCAGACCTCATAGCCTATTCCATGAGATGTCCCGTTATATTTCTAGTTTTTTGTGCTTTTTTCTGAGTAAAACTAAAAGTGTACATTCGGCAAATGCAAAATATGCAATACTAATGAGAAACCCATGCTTTTGAATTAAAATTAATAAATTGTTCGTTTTAATTAAAAAACTAATTCGATTTATTTTAAAAACCTATTACGAAGACGGCAACCATAAATAAACAAAAAAAAATGTTTTTTTGTTCCTTTTGCTTAGTGCGTCTTCCGGGTATAACGACGAAAAATCGTCGGTCCCTTGAAAGTCGCTATAACCGGATTCTACTGTACTTTACTTTTGTGCAAACCCAACTCCTGATTTGTTAATTTAAAGGTTTTCGTTTTCGGCGCAAAAAAACCGCTTTTTTATTTTGCCAAAAGGTCAATATCTAGTATATTTCTATCGCACCTCTTCCGTTACATTTAGGTTATGTTTACGTCATTTCATAATAAAAGCACTTCACTACAACACTTAAACTATTCACAACTTCTTTTGGGGCAGACATCTTGTATCTGATACAAGCCATCCAAGAAGGATCTTGGACCAACAGCTAAGAACTCAAAAAATGATTCTGCTCCCATCAACATACATATTTTCGTATTATTTTTGGGTTGTCAAAATAGGGGTCTGCAAATGGTACTTTCTTTCGCATTTTCCAGTCATTGACATTTACGGAGTGGTCAGTAAGGTACCAGAATAAATAATTTTAAAATCAAAAACCCTAGGTAACTCTATTCAAGACGAGATAGAAAAATATCCATTATCGGTAATACGGCATCGATGATATTCCTTAAGGACGATTGTTGCGTTATTTTCGCAGGAGTAAACAATGTCGAAATATTTTTCATAACAATTAAGTATTCGTTCTGGTATACTTTTTTTAAGTGACTCGATAACCAGAGAGATACGAAAATAGTGGATTAAATGGATAACTGGAAAGCTGTCGTCTTGATGAAGAAGAGGTTGAAAAAGGGTGATAAAATTCCTAAACTCCGAATATATGCCGCTGAACTTTGGCAAGGCCAAGTTCAGAATTCGAGCTTGAATTGGGGCTACAGAAGCTGATCCTGAAATTTTGGGATCGCATGCTGACTACAAGGCAAATAAAAGTGACATTATTTTTGCCTTGGTTTCATTTGACAGCTATTTTAACTCAACTCGTTGTATTTATTTCAAATTATTTAAAAATTGATTAAAATGTTGAGTAAATTGTAGTCAAGCTAATGGAGTTACAGCGTTTTTAACGACCAAATTTAGACGTATAAAAAACTTCAAATCGATTTTCCCGAAAACGTTATTTTAGAATTCGTGAACATTAGAACTCAAAATCTACCGAAAATTAATAGAAAAATCGTCATAGCTTTGCTGTGGCTTAGCCCTTAGTACATATTTTATTTTACATATTTAATGACTCCAAGGGTATATAAGATTCGGCTCGCCGAAGCTAGTTTTCTTTCTTGATTTTTATTGGATTTATATAAATTTAAGATTCGATAAATGATAAACGATAAAAAACATCGACGTTTTCATTTTTCAGTAATCCGGATTTAATTTTTTATGCTAAAGAAGCTATTTGATATCGTCGCCAGATCTCTTGGTAAAATTTCAGCAAGCTTAAAAATTGAGAGCAATGTTTACTTAGCAACAAACTGACGGACAGACGTACACATTCAAATCGATCGTGATGATGATCAAGAACATATCGACGCATTTCCGCGAATGTATCGTATGCAGATAAATCAAATTTTACAGGAGAAGCTTTTTCTTTATTTTTGTATTTCGGTATTTTAGTGCGATTGCAGTATTTCTATGCAATTGAAAAAAAATTTGTATGGACATACGATAATTTCGCGCGCACATTGTAACATACGATAAAATTGAAACTTAATTTTTATCGGAACTATAGGGCTTTCAGTTATAATATTGCACAGGGTAGTGAGACATTAGGTGCCTAATTTATGGGTTCTCAGGTGGGCCCTTCACTGCGGTGCAAACTTCTGAGTGAAATTATAATAACCTCTACAAGGATATATGTACATAGAAATTTTTGTTTAATTTTGTTGGGCACGCATGCCTTTTTCTCGGCATTTAGTATTTCAATACCATAATAAATATTTAAAAAGATGTAGTTATTAAAATCAGACTTCTCTATTATATAGTTGACATAGACATAAGAAAAGTAATTGAAAATTCGACAAAACTGGAAAAAAGATTAATTTAGCCTAGTCGTTTTCGGCATTCATTTAGTCTGTTAGTTTTCTGCATTCAAATTCTGTTTGCCGAAATTAGCTTCCCTACTTGTTAAAAATAAACTTCCGCACATATGTACATATAGGTACTTACATTTTTTGTATGTTTACTGTAAATGCTCTTATAGTTTTTAAGATATCGACGTTGATACGGACATACAGACCCAGACAGAAACGGCTAGATGGACTTATCGATTATACTATTTTCTTTTTTACCTGACAAATAATTAATAGATGGAATAAACTATAAACCGAAAAATGTCGATAGAAAACTATTCTCAATTTGATCTATTTTAAATAAAATATAACCATGACATATTTAATAATACTTCTGCCATATAATTACAAAAAATAAATTATTTAACTCAAGCTTAACGTTTTTGTTTTATCGGATTTAGATCAACCAAACATTTTATTTGTTGTACGTGATTATTCATCGGGAACTATTTTCGACATAAAAACAAACAAATATGTTGGGCCAAAAGCAGGAAAGCCTGCCCAGCTAAAACTTTTGGACAGATATTTGGCCTCCGAGCAGCGGTTTCAGTTTGGAAAATTCCTTTTCCCAAACAAACTTAAGAACTTGCAGGGTCGAGAAGTCATCATAGCTGGATTCGATTACCCACCCTACACAGTTATAAAACATGTAAGTATAAACCCTTTCCCCAAATTTAATTCAATAATAGTTTGCTCACATAAATAGTATTGTTATCACCAAGTTTATTTTCATAAATTAATTAAATAGGGTACCGAGGATATATTTGAAGATTTCTTGAAAAAAAAACGAAAAAAATAAATGTAGATCCATAGTAGCATTGGAAGGCTTTAGGAGTTTTTGTTGGGCGTTTATAAGATTTATAAGAATTTTTTTTTATAAGAAGTACGATAGATGTATAAAATTAATATCCCTTAAAAATATTTTAAAATTACAGTAGAATCCGGTTATAGCGACTTTTAAGGGACCGACGATTTTTCGTCGTTATACCCGGAAGACGCACTAAGCCAAAGGAACAAAAAAACATATTTTTTTTGTTTATTTATGGTTGCCGTCTTCGTAATAGGTTTTTAAAATAAATCAAATTAGTTTTTTAATTAAAACGAAAAATTTAATAAATTTAATTCAAAAGCATGGGTTTCTCATAATACTAAAAACTGAGTGAGCTTATTATTGCATATTTTGCATTTGCCGAATGTACACTTTTAGTTTTACTCGGAAAAAAGCACAAAAAACTAGAAATATAAGGGGACATCTCATGGAATAGGCTATGAGGTCTGCACACGCAGAGCAGCGTGTGACGTCGGCATTGCACTTCGACTCTCTCTCTGGCAGCAGCGTAGTTAAGGCGACAGCTAAAACTAACAGAGAGTAGTGACAGTGTAAGATCCTTCGTGTCGCTGCTACGCACAAGCAAAGGTGCCGATCACTAATAAATACATACATTTCTAACCGCGTGTTTTGATGCTTAAATTTGGCACTATTGCAATGTATTTTTTTTCTGCACGACGCAATATCCGGTAAATTTTTTCAATTTTCTTGAAAATTTTTGTTCGTATAAGCGACAGACCACTAAAAGCGGAAACGCTCTAAGCGGAGGCCCTTTCATATAAGTTTGTATGGGGATCAACCAAACCATCGAGTTTTCGTCGCACAACCCGGACTGACACTATAAGCGAAGTCGTTATAAGAGGATTCTACTGTATCTGTTTCATATTTAGGAAAAATCTTTAAGTAACTGTTAATAAAAAGTTGATAAAAACAAAGTGTTATTATATTATTATATCATAATTATTTTTATCTTAGACCCGCAATTTGTTTGTTGTTCCACAAATTGCAATTGTCTAGGCTTTGAATAACCCGATAATATCAATGTTTGCCTATTCTTTCACAATAGCCTCCTCCTGCCTTCCACCTCCGAAAACTTTAACTGATTATAACTGATACTGTGCAACATGAAATGAAGCGGTTTCTTGTTGGATCAATAAATCCTCGCAATGAAACTTTTTAGAAATTAAGAAAAGCTCACTTCCTAAGATTTCTGTATAGATTTTTGCATTCGTGACTGTTTGTTGTTTGGCTCAGTATGCAAGCATGGAGCAAAATAAAATTTGTGCAGTTAATGGACCTGATAAAGTTTCCATTTCAACCGCACGAAGACTTTTTCCTTTTGGTGTAGAGGTGGACGAAGATACGCCACGCTCCAAAAGGCCTGTCGTCGAGATAGACCAGCATAGTAGTAGCCGTAGCCAAAAAGCTGGGCATGATTGATCAACCTTCTTCACGACAACGCAAGGCATGATAAACATTCTTCGTTCTTTTTTTTGGAAAATAAATGAATATGGAGCAAGCTACATTTAATTGAGCATGTGAAAAATGTGGGTTTTCAAGATTAGTGCGGCAAGCGCTTAATGACTGACCTTGTCACTTTTTTATTATCATTGCAAATTAAACTCTTACAGGGAACTGCAAGCGCTCCGTATGCGGCCTAATGCATTCGTGAAAAATAGACTTGGATAGTCTCTGGTTTCCGTCGTTGACATTTTTTGGATGATTAATTTCAAGTATAGTGTCTTGGCATTTCAGCGTCAAGCTGCGTTTGGACGAAATCATCACGCTATCATGTTTCAAAAAAACTTGTCGATGGTGGTCGCCCCGCTCTTCGCATTGCGTTTTCTGTCCATCATCGATTTCATTATCTTTAATTTGGAATATGCACGTGTGGTAATCCACGTTTCTGCCACTCCACTAACTACATCCATCATCGTGTCTCCCAAAAAAAAAGAATTTCACAATGAAATCCATACGCAATCTCAATTTCTGTTTTAAAACACTTGCAATGATGTCATGGCGATGGGTGACTGACCAGGAAGTAGTTCTCTTTTCATTTCTACCCAATTTCGATTAAACGTGAACGTGATAAATTAATTTGATGTGTCATATTCATGAACATATCGATGCATTTCCGCGAAAGTATCGTATGTCGCTTTTTTTCGAAATTGAGGTTTTAAATCAAAATTGTTAGGCACCTAATGTCTCACTACGTCTGTGAAATATTATAACTGAAAACCGTATAGTTCCGATAAAAATTAAGTTTCAATTTTATCGTATGTTACAGTGCTCCTAAGAGATTAAATAAAAAAAAAGCTTCTCCTGTAAAATTGGATTTTTCTACATTCCGTTCGCGGAAATGCGTCAATATGTACGACATACATACCATACTGAGCATATTCATGCATATGTCGTAGGATTCCAACTTACGTTTCAGTATCGTCATTTGCCCGACATTTTGCGCATTCTGATCGGAATTTATGGCATCACGAAGATGGATATACTACTCGAAACGCAGTTACAGTGGCTCACAGCTTAAAGTATGCAGTGCATACTTTTAACTTTAAACGCCCATAGCGGTAAAACTATAAGGAATATTGGAATAAACAAGGTGCCAAATGAAAGATTAACTTATTTAGAATAACGTAACAAAATCATTTATTTTCAAAAACGGCTTAAACACTAAAAAAAACTTAAAAAATTAAAAATACAGCTTATATTCAGCTCACAGCTTATTTTATGCAGTCTCAAAAATGTTCAAAAAATAAGGAAAAAACTCAAAAATATAACGTTTTTAATATTTGGTATGGTAACCATTGTTGTCAACGACATCTTTCAGCCTTTTCGGCATTGATTCAACCAATTTTTGGGTGACTTCTGACGAGATCTTTCCCCACTCCTTCATTAGGGCATCTTTTAAGTCATTTTTGTTAGAAATATGGTAATTTCTAATATTATTATCCAAAATGGCCCATAAATTTTCAATAACGTTGAGGTCCGGTGACTGAGCCGGCGTATCCACAACGTGAGGGCAATTGTACAGCAACCACATCCGCACAATTCCAGCCTTGTGCTTCGGATCATTATCCTGATAAAAGCGGAAATTGTCTTTTATTCCAAGACCCTCGGCACTTTGGACCAAATTGTCCTTTAATATTTGAAGGTATGCTTTTTTATCCATTATCGATTCAATAAAAGTCAGTTTTCCAGGGCCAGCAGCTGACATACAGGCCCAAACCATCACGCTGCCACCGCCGTGCTTTACCGTTGCCTTCAGGTTCTTTGGTTCAAGCTCTGTATTGGGCTTCCGCCATACATAAGCGTTACCGTCTGATCCAAATATATTAAACTTGGATTCGTCTGCAAATATCACACTTTTCCAGAAGTCGGGGGTCTTGGAAAGGTGATCTTTTGCATATTTTAGGCGAGCTAACCTATTCTTTGGGCTTATGAATGGCTTTTTACGAGCTACGCGGCCATTATAGTCATTGTTACGTAGGACTCGTCGAATTGTTTCATCGCAACAATTTTTGCCAAGACCAGCCTTAACTTCGGATGCAAGTTTTGGTGCTGATAGTCTCGGATTAGCCTTGATTTTCCGAACTATGTACCGCTCATCTGCATCAGTGAAAATCTTGTTTGGTGCTTGGCGTCCTTTATTTTCCAAACGATTTTCGTGAACGAAGCGCTCGATAATTTTTTGCACTGTTGGAGGCTTTATGTTCACTATTTCAGCAATTTTACGCTGGGAGATATTGTTTTTGAAATGGTATATAACCAATTCCCGTTGTTCTAATGTTGTGCGTGGACTCATTTTAAAAATCGCCTATCCGGAGTCGTTGAGATCAAGAATAAGAGTAAATGACAAGCACACGAAAATAAAGAAGATTGGCAAAGCTAGCAACGCCAAAAAAAACGGAAAAATTCCATGGAATTTCCAGCGTAGTTACTGAGAAAACTAACTGCATAAAATAAGCTGTGAGCTGAATATAAGCTGTATTTTTAATTTTTTAAGTTTTTTTTAGTGTTTAAGCCGTTTTTGAAAATAAATGATTTTGTTACGTTATTCTAAATAAGTTAATCTTTCATTTGGCACCTTGTTTATTCCAATATTCCTTATAGTTTTACCGCTATGGGCGTTTAAAGTTAAAAGTATGCACTGCATACTTTAAGCTGTGAGCCACTGTATGCTTGATTCAGTTGAAGCAGTCACTCAGCCTCGTTTTTGACGTACATGTCAATAGAAAATTGATCGACACTCTTAGATGTGATTATCCTCCCATTCCCGAAACAATAATATATACTCTATGCATAGTAATTCATTTAGCTCGCTTTTATTTTTTGTTTTACCACCTCCAAAAGATTTTTTTTAATAACACAGAATAAGCCTATAATTATAGGAATTTAACGACTTGATTACAATATGATAGCCATTTTCACCTTGTTAAAAAATAATAGGATGTTGTTGTGCATTACATGATCGATGTGTTTCAAACACACGCTGCAAGGAAGCTCTAATTTTTAGATGGCATATGATCCAATGTAGTTTTAAATAATCCATTAGTCCATTGTGATAATGAAGAAACATTTGCAATTGTTCTAGAATTGGTATTGGCACTGAATCGTTCTGTGAACAACGCTAGTATACTTCAACTTGTTAATCATCCATAATTTAAATATTCAGAAAATTTGTAATTTGTAACTGGTCGCTTCCAAATAAAAAAATAAAAATTTTCTGTATGTTGTTAAGTCGACGTTTTTTAGTGTGCTTGTGTGTACTGAATTGGGTTGGTGACGTAAGGGGTTAGGCCGGGGATAAT